GATGGGCTGGGCTGCTGACGGGAATCCCGGCCGGGATGGAGCAGCCGGGGACGGGACGTTGCTGGGACGGGCAGAGCCCCAGCACCACACAAGGTGAGTGTTCATCCCAAGCTCCAAGAAGCCAGCAGGGCTGGGAGCTGCTGGGAAGCACCAGCCTTTGGAAAGCCGAGGTCCCTGGGGGGCTGCGAATCACACCCACCCTGTCCCCCCGGCACAGCCAGGGAAGGGAAACTCCACAGCAGCCCTCGGAGGTTGCTTTATTGTCCGTGTAATGGCTGCATTAATCAGGGAAATGAGACGTGCCTGAGAGGTGGCAGGGAGGCACAAGGGATCCTCCGAGCCTTCACACGGCTGAACTTCATTAGCCTGGCCCTGGACCTGCATCTCCAGGATAAACCACGGGAGCAGGGTGTGGTCCTGCTGGGATGAGGAGCACCAGGAGCAGGGTGTGGTCCTGCTGGGATGAGGAGCACCAGGAGCAGGGTGTGGTTCTGCTGGGATGAGGAGCACCAGGAGCAGAGTGTGGTTCTGCTGGGATGAGGAGCACCAGGAGCAGAGTGTGGTTCTGCTGGGATGAGGAGCACCAGGAGCAGGGCATCATCTCAGTGGGATGAGGAGCTCTGGGATAGCCTGGGTGAGACTCTCAGAAAGCCCTGGCACAAGATGCTCATTCCAGCAACTTGGCAAGCCAAGGGATATGGTCCAGGGCTCTCCAGCCACAGTTCCTGGAAGCCAGAGGAGGTTTTACCCTGTAAAAAATATGTAATTGCTGATCAGCTTTATTTTTACAAGGCTGGTGCAAGTCAGAGAGCAGGATGGAGTGTTTTCCTCTTCTTGCTTTATTTGGCACCTTTCTCCATTAACCTCTGGTTTCTAGGAAACGATATTTCTTGTTGATGGGCACATGTGACAGTCAATTTAAAACCATTACTGGCATGGCAGGCTGCTTCATAGAAAGAAAAAGACTGTGCTGAGATGAAATGAGCTTTCTAGGAATGTGCTTTTGAGCACACAAGGCTTCAATGTCACAAGTGCCACAAATCAAACTAAAAATTGCTTCCTTGTGCCAGCCAGGAGGGGAAAAACATCAGGCTGCAACAGCTGGGGTAACAAAGGTGGCTGTGGGGCTGTCTCTGAGGGCTTGGCCTGGCCAAGGGGGGCACCCGGCGTGGAGGGGCTGAGACACACCTGGACACCCCCAGCTCTGAGCAGGGGGGCAGCAGAAGGCTGCTTTCCAAGCTGTCACACGGCTGTGGGAAGGCTGGTGGCACATTTTGGGGAAGGTTGATGTTGGCTTTTTATGGTTTTATTTCCTCTGGAGTACAGGAAACAGGAAATTCAACAAAATGCCTTTGCCAAAGCTCAAAAATCTTACTGACTTCATGGACACCCTGGGGCTTCACCCCTTCTCGGGGAGGCTGCAAAGCAAAGAGACAGGACAAATTACTATTTTTATACAGCAAGTGACATCAAGAGACAGCCTCATCTGTTCCTGGCTACTAACGTCAGTGGCTTGCACTGAGATGGGATAATCCCAGCCAGGAGTACAAAGCTGCAGCCCCTCTACTCATGAATGAAAATTCCTTCAACTGGTGAATTCAATCCAGGTAAAAAACAAAAATATAATTAAAAAAATCAACAGTTTAATAAATGGAGAGAACAGGAAATTACACCCCTGAGCCATTCATAGACTGCATGGGTGAAGTGATTGATAGTGTCTGTGCTACATTGTCTGAACTGGCCCCAAATTAGTCCTCCTTAATAGAAGTCTAATTGAGAATTTAAATACTCATCTGAAGTATCAGCCCCTAAAATTGACTTTCTTGATCACCAGACATGGCAAAGCAAAGCTTAACATTGCAGGAAAATTCTCCTGGCCTGGCTATGGAATGATGGATGATCCATGGACTGAGCCCAGTGGGGGGAGGGCTGTGGGACCCAGCCTGGGGACAGGGTCCCCACCACAGCTCAGCCTCCCCCCACCCAAGGGTTGTTTTCCTCTTGGGGTCTCAGGGACTCACCAACAGAACACGAAGCATCACCCAGAAGCACCAGCCCGAGCACCCACAGCCATGAGCTGGGGCAGGACACAGGTGGTGGACACTGTGTCAGGAGAGCTGGGAGCAATTCCTGATGGGACGTGGAGCTGCAGAAACACGTGTGGACCCACCTGGAAAAGTGCAGCCAGGACTGCCTGCCAGCTGAGCTGGGCCCTTCTCCTGAGAATCCCTCCTCAAGGCTCCCGGTCCGGCGGGCAGGGCAGGAGCAGCAAGAAGCCTGTTAGATGGAAAGGAGCCCAGTTCTCCATGGCAACCAGCAAGAACTGGGTCAGCTGCAGGATGCAGGGAGGGAAGAGCTCCCAGGAGTTTTGGAAGTAAACAGGCAGCCAGCAAGCACTGAGAGCCCAGGGAGCGGGGGCACCCGGAGCGCTGGGCACCCAGGACCTCCCAGGAGCCAAGTCACAGCTCCCATCCCACACAGCACACGGGGGTCCCCCAGCCCTGCCTGAGTTCTGGGGGACAGCAGATTCCCAGGGCAGGAGAGAGGCAGTGCCAACTCCAGAGGGTGCCCCTGGAGCCAACCCCAGCTGCACCCAGCAGGGGCTCGGCAGGGCCCCAGGCACAGCCAGCACAGACATCCCTCTGTGGCCATGGGCTTCTGCCTGGCTTCCCAG